ATATTCTTTAGTCCACTGTTTAAATATAATGGAGGCACATTATAAACCGGTGAATAGGTGGTACTTGACCCCTGCCAAATTAGGTAAATTCTCTAATTCTGATACTCAAAAGTGTTGGAGGTGCGGATCAGAAGGGGCAGATGAGATACACATATGGTGTGATTGATAGGATATTTGGGATTCTGCTGATGTACCTATAATAGAGGACAAAACATAGTGCAAATATTGCTACACACTATAAAACCGCTGGTAAAAAATATGCACTCACATATTCCAAAGAATATAAGCGTGTTCAGGGTGCCTCCCCCTAAGTGTGAAAAAAGGGGGGGTTATTCTCCTTTGATTCTCCCTCCTCAAGTGATAGCCAGTGGGGTATCCGGGTCAGCAAAAGGATCCAAGCAGATGCAACCAAAGGAATACTTCAAAGGCGATTTATTCACTTATAAAATTCAAGAGGTATATATAAAAATACATAAAAGCAATATAAGAAAGAGATGCTGGTCCTACGCGTTTCGTCCTTATACAAAAGGACTTCCTCAGGGACCTCTTTCAGCACAATATTCAATCACCAAAATTACAGAGAATAAAAAACAGCATCCTAAAAACGCTAACACATGAATAACCTTATATAGGGCTAATCCCTTCTAGTCATTGGTGGAATAGTGGGTGTTCTCTCCTCTTCTGACTCCTATTCGTCCAGGGTTTCTTTTCTTCAGGTGTGTTCACTTAATCGAAATGAAAAAAGCCGGGCTCATTACGAAACTAGTCACTTCCGCATACGTCATACGTTACGTTCGCGTCACGTGTTCCGTGATTTATCACGTGATCGTTATGCGTTCCACATTCGGGAACAAAGATGGACGTGCGTTCCACATAGTGGCAGCCTGGAAACATCGTTTTTCTTTACCTAATAATTGTACACACAAAACTAGAGGCAAAAGGACTGTTAGAAATCAGATGAGAGAATTTGAAATATTATATTAATTGTCCTCTAACAATGAAACACTAAAAATAATAATTCTTATAATGAATGTATAACAACTTCCTATCCAAGTTGACCATTCATAATATATATCATAACAAAAATACATATATCATAGTATTACAAAAAATTTGGTATATATAATAGCAACCAATCATTAACAAATTCATATGTCCATATATTGACATTAATGTCTAATACACTAACATAATAAACAGCACCAATTAAGGTGCTTAATCTTTTTAAAGTGACTTAAGTGATATTATACTTATTTGCAAATCTGTATTATGTAAAGTGCAATGAAAATTGACATTTATTAATCATTACATGCTCAATTACATATCCATATTGTGTGAACTAAAACAATTAACCAGTGAACATTATTACTTATTAATTAATACACACTAAATTAATACACACTAAATTACATATCCATATTGTGTAGACTGAAATAATTAACTAATCATATGCTCAATGTCATATTCAATTTTAACATTTAAATAAAATGACATGAGTTATATATGATCGATTTCAAATGTATCTTTATACTTTAAAATTAGTTAATTCAAAAAACAGACAATATCCATATCCACGTTTAATCCCCTTGGGACAAGGGTACGTAACCTATGAATCCAATATGATTCCCTTTGTGCCAATCGCTTTTCTTTATTACCCCCTCTCCAATGGGGTTGAATTTGTTCTATCCCTATACAGCGTAGTCCCTTCAGAGAAAACAAGGGACAATTATTACAGTGGAGGGGGACTGAATGAGTGTCTAATTTTTTCTTTATGTTGTTAATATGTTCCAAAAGTCTCACTTTTAGACATCTCTTTGTGCGACCAACATATTGGCTGCCACATGGGCACTGAAGCAAATATACAACACAGTCCGAGCGGCAGCCAATCTCTGATTTAATCGAAAAAAGTTTCCCTGTAACGGAACTACTATATGATGTAACCTTATCTGTATTTACTTGAGAACAGGCTTTACAACTTTTGCAACCTCGGAAGCCTTTTATCCCTTTTTTAATATTTTTAAATCCGTTTTTTAAAGCATAACTGGGTGCTAATAAGTTCTTAAGATTTTGTTTTTTCCTATAGATGATTTTTGGCCTTTTTGACAAATGCTCCCCCAAAATGGGGTCCTCCAACAATATTGGCCAATATTTCTGTAGACTCCTTTTTATTTTTGGATGATCCACATTAAATTGTGTAAAAAAAGCTTGCTTAAAGTCTTCCCCCTTTTTCCTATTGCTAGGGCCATCCATTAAAAACTCATTTCTACTTCTTTTGGACATCATCTGAATCTCTCTCCTAATTTGCTTCTGATTGTAACCTTTTTCAACTAATTTATTAGCTACATGTTGGGCTTGTACCTGAAAATCCTTAGTATGGGAACAGTTCCTCCTTACTCGAGTGAGCTGTCCCTTAGTAATCCCCTTCAACCAAGGTTGATGGTGACAGCTACGTTTATGAACATAGCTGTTCCCATCTGTTGGTTTGAAGAAACATTTAGTTTTGATCTCACTTCCCTCACTGAAAAGGGTGAGATCTAAAAAATTGATTTCTCTACGGTCCCATACTGGAGAAAACTTTAAATTGTACTCATTTCGATTTAAATAGTTGACAAAAGTCATAAATTCAGAATTCGACCCCTTCCAAATAATAATAACGTCGTCTATATACCGCCGCCATAGGACCAGGTTCTCCACCCAGTCATGACCCAACCATACGCAGAGGTCCTCCCACCTGCGCATGTATATGTTGGCATAACTGGGGGCGAACCTGGTACCCATGGCAGTGCCCACCAATCCTCACTCCGGATAAAGCCACAGCCAGCCAAATAATACAAGGCAGCTAACCCTTTCAAATACATTCAAAGTGAATATAAAACAACACCAACAGGAGAAAACAGCAAGTGGGAGCACACCTTCATAGGCCAAGTGGCAATAGCAATAGCTACCAATTTTCTGTCTTTTTTTTTTTCTATGTTTATTCTGCAGAGGCTGGTAAAAAGCATTGAGTCTCCTGACAATTAGTGAACCCCTTAGAAGAGGGGTAATAGAAATATGATAGAGAGCTGCATACAGGGTTAATATAAGATTTAAAGACTATCTAAACCCAGTTAATCCAAGTGAATTTCTGCCCATGATGTGGGACAGACTATTAAAAAGGTCTACAGTGAGCCAGGTGGAGTTGCCCACAGGATCTTGCCACTTATAGTGCCTTCTCTTTTATTTACTGTCTGTATCTTTCTCTTCACTCATATAACACTTTCCGCCTATCCCCTATTTCTGCTACTTAGCGCGAGTTTTTGCGCAATAAAATAAGAAAATAAAACATAATTGCATACTAAGAGAAAAAGGTGAAGGTGGGAGTGAAGGTGTGGAGGAGAAGAAGTTGGGGAGCAAGAAACGCAAGACAGGAAAGGGCACTAGCCTAAAGAGCATATACCTTCCAGAAAAAAAAGAGCTAAACTAAAATATAAAAACAAATGAAAATACAAATGGCTACAGAAAAGACATAAAATGGCAAGTACCTAAAAAAAGAGAAAAAGCCTGACAATAAAACAGAAAAACGCCTCACCTTCTTTTCACCAAACCTTTCAAGTAATAAAACTAACTTGGAGGAATCTCGTCTCTCTAATATTCCATCAGAGGAAGGCATAAATAAAGGACAAGTGGAAGAAATTCAAGAGAAGGAAGAAATGAATATGAAAACTTATTCAGACACTTAGATACAAATTTGTGTTTCCTAGGCATAGAAGAAAAACTAAATGGATTGGAACAAAAGGAAAAAGTCCACAAAGTAGAACATCTGATGCTGGAACAAAAGATGGCTGACATGGAAAAAAACTGATAGACCTAGAGCAGAGGTCCTCAAACTACGGCCCGCAGGCCGGATCCAACTCGCCAGGGTCATGAACCCGGCCCAAGCATTTAGGGCCACCTGATGGGCCCTATATCTTCAGGGGCCCGGTTTGCGCTGCAGCTGTGCAGTAGCACGACCAGGCCCCTTTAAAAAATTGCAGCCGCAAGGTAGTGATTGGAGGAAGTGACGGCTGGTCACTTCCTCCCAGCTCCCTCCGTGCAGGAGGGAAGAAAGACAGGCCACGAGGATGGAAGAGCCACCCTCCTGCAAAAAAAAGTAAGAAAAATTAGCTGTGTGTGTGTGTATATATGTCAGTATGTGTATGTATGTATGTCTGTGTGTATGTATTTCAGTATGTATGTGTGTGTGTGTGTGTGTATGTATGTCCGCATCTATCTGTATGTATGTCAGTATGTGTGTGTGTGGATGTCTGTCTGTGTGTATTTATTTCAGTATGTATATATGTCTGTGTGTATGTATGTCAGTATGTGTCTATCTGTATGTATGTGTTTGTATGTCTGTCTGTGTGTATGTATGTCGGTATGTGTCTGTATGTATCACAGTATGTATCTATCTGTATGCATTTCAGTATGTCTGTATGTGTCTATCTGTATGTATGTCTGTATATATGTCAGTGTGTGTATTTATATATGTCTGTGTGTATGTATATGTATGTATTTCAGTATGTCTGTGTGTGTCTATGTATGTCAGTATGTGTTTGTATGTATGTATGTATGGCTGTCTGTATGTGTTAGTATGTGTCAGTATGTATGTCAGTATGTGTCACGATCTGTTCTGTTTTGCAGAGATGTCTGGCCTTGGCTTCTGGTATCCAGTACTCTTTTTACAATTCTTGTTTTTTCTTGTTTTCTATTCTATGTCTGGTTTTCTTTATGCTGTGTTTTTTTTTGGTCCATTCCTTTATTCCGTTCCTAGAATTCCCAGTCTATTGGATTCTTTGCCACACCCGTTCCTTTGCCATTAATCCTTTTGTTTCAATTGGTTCCTGCAGTCAGTGGTTTCATGTCCTCTGCCCCGTTCTTTGCAGGTAAGTACTGTGTGTGTTTTATTGTTGTTTATTTAGTCAGGCATATCTAGGCAGTTAGGACCCACCATAATTGGAGTAGTTTGGCGCTGTGGTAGGCTGCTACATCTTGGCCATTTATGTATGTCTAAATCTCCAATGTTTTATATATATAGTACTTAGTTATGTCTCCTCTTGTTCTGCGTTATATCTCTTGTCTTGTTTTATTTTGTATTCCCAGTCCATGTATAGTCCTGCCGGCTCCTGTTCTGTTAATGTTTCCCTTATGTATTGTGTACATGTTCTGGGTTCTGCTTTCTATCCTTCTCCTGTTCTGGGGTCTTCTAGTTTTGTCTTGTTTTCTTGTTTGGTGCCTATTCTAATCTTACCTTGTTTCTAGTACTTCATCTGCACTGGCTTCCGCTAAGCTGCATCAGGGTCTTGGTAAGTGGCCGCACAAACGCTGGTGCTCAACACCAGGGGGCGTGTGGTTACCTTGCACCAGGCCTTACTTATCCACTTCCATGCTGAAGACTCCTCTCATCATCTACATCAGGCACAGGGGTCCCAGTCTTCGGACCGCCACCCTGACAGTATGTCAGTATGTATGTGTATGTATGTCAGTATGTAATGTATGTGTGTGTGTATGTATGTCCTTATGCGTGTTTGTGTCTGTATGTTTGTATATGTCTATGTGTCTCTTTCAGTATGTATAGGAATTTGTTCAAATTTTTTTCAAACTATAGTCCGGCCCCCAACTGTGTCTGAGGGACAGTGAACTGGCCCCCTGTTTAAAATGTTTGAGGACCTCTTTTATTTTTTGTAATTTACTTTTTATTATTTTTCAAATTATAAGAAGGGGGGGGATACAGAAAAAAGAAAAGGAAGGGTACATAATAAAAAAAAAGGGAAGAGGCACAATTATCAACTTACATATCTTATAATAACATCTTGTATTATACTTATAAATGCATATTTTACTGTCAAGATTATATATTACAACATTCCTTTTAATCAAAAAAATATTCAGAAAGATAATACCTTTTGACATATCTCCTTATTATTATTTATTATTATTATTTATTATCTTAACAAGTCATATCAAACCTAAGCCTCCAGAGAAAAATAAAAATAATTTTTTTTTTATATATCATTAAATAATTCACCCAACTAGATATCTCATTTTAGTACTTTATATCTAAGATAATACTGAATAGATAATCTATTAGTTTAGATTACTTACTCAGACATATATCGAATTATAATATTCTATGGTGTCATATTAACATTTTTTAGATATTTTTATATAAGAACATTAAACTGTTCAGTGCAGAGATCTCATATATTAACTAATATATTAACTAAATATACCTAGCTAGTTCTCACATATAGATTGACAATATGTTTGCCACCTTTGGGCTATTTGGGGGCTCAGTTTTCCTTTGGTTCCACATTAGAAGTTCATATTCTACTGTAGAAGACATTACATCTTTAATTTCTTGTAGCGAAGGTAAATCATTAGTCTTCCAATGTCTAGCGATTAGTATAGACCCTGTGCTCAATAGGAGGAATATCATTTTCTTGGACACTTTAGGAATATTTTTGGATCGTGAGATAACTGCTCGTTTGTAATTTGTTTTATTATTCTTTCAATATTCTTCCATAATACATTCACCGCTTCACATGTCCACCAGACATGTAACATGGTGCCCCTATCTGTATAACAGCGCCAACACATGTCTGATGTTGCAGGGAACATAGTATGTAAGCATGCAGGAACCATGTACCACCTGTACATTATTTTTCTTGCTGCTTCAAAATGCGCAGTACTAGTAGTTAGTCCAGTATGAGTGTTAAAGATATGTTCCCATTCCTCCAAGGGAATATTCACTTGAAAATCTTCTTGCCAGTCTTGCATAAATTTCCAGTTTGTATTTACAACAGGGTTAGCCAAGCTTTGATAACATATGGATAATGATTTTTTAGGAGAGCTCATCGACAAACATTGCTCTTCAAACTTAGTTATGGAAGACTGCAACGTATCTGCTCTTATAGCGACCTTTTCCATATATAGAATCACTTTGATTTGAAGATATGCAAATGTATAACTCGCCGGTAATGTAAACTCCTTTTGTAAATTCTAAAAAGATTTAAGACCTTCTATATTGCATAGGTGAAATACATTTGTGATTCCTGCTTTCTCCCATTTCTGATATGGGAATGTCCCATTACAAGAATATAGAATTTTAATTGGAGTTGCTAGAGCCCATGGGTAAGCCGTACATAATTTATCTCTATAGTTATCCCATATTTTGACTAAATGTTTAGTGGATGGCAGTATATTTAGGCTTACTTGTCTTAAATGTTGAGGTTTCCATAATAGTGTCGAAAGATCTTGTGTTCCACAATACATATTTTCTATTGCCACCCATTGAGGGATATAACTAATTGAGTGGGCGCTGATAACATTCATAAGTATTGCAGCATGATAATATGCTTTTATATTTGGTATCCCCATACCTCCCTTTTCCACACTTCTCATCAATAATGCTTTAGGGACTCGCGGATGTTTACCGCCCCAACTAAAACGCACCATGGTTGCTTGAATACACGATATATATTTTTGTGGGAGTATCATATGCAAGGATCTAAATAGATATAGAATCTTAGGCAGAATTACCATTTTAAGCCCTGCTATTTTCCCTACCAAAGATAAGAATAAGTTCTTCCATGATTTTAATTGATTAGCAATTTCCTTCAATAACTTCGTATAGTTAGCTGAAAAAAGATCTTTTTCTTTTTTAGTTATTCTAATACCTAAAAAAACTAAATGATCTTCTCTCCAATCATAAAAGTAATTTCCCTTTAATCTTTCCTCAGCAATTTTAGATGTGTTAAGACACATCGCTTGAGTTTTTGTTATATTTAATTTATAATATGATTGTTGACTGTAGGACTGTAATTCTTTATGTAATGATGGAAACGTTATGAATGGTTGAGTAATTGTGAGAAGGATATCATCAGCATATAAACTAAGTTTATATTCCTCATTACCCACTGACACCCCGTGAATATTTCTATTGTTCCGCATAGATATGGCCAAAGGTTCTAGAGCTAGTACATAAAGAAGGGGTGATAATGGACACCCCTGTCGAGTCCCATTAGAAATACAAAAGGCCTGAGTAGAGCACTGTTGCTGTTGGTGCACTATAAAGAGCTTCAACTGCTGAAATAAAAAATGATGGAAATCCATAGGCCAATAATGTTTCATGTAAGAAATCCCAATTCAGCCTATCAAATGCCTTTTCGGCATCAAGCGATATCATTGAGGACCTCTTAAGAATTAGAGGAGTATCAGAACAAATAAATCTAAAAAATCTTGAATCACACATAGAGGAATTCTTTAAGCATTTGAAGGTAGAATGGGACTCCAGAATTCCCATAATGGAAAGATGCCATAGAATGAACAAACCTAAGGGTGTCCCAGAACATCTTCCAAAAGATGTATTGATAAGCTGCGCCTCCTCCAAAATTAAGTCGCAAATTCTAAGAGCCGTAAGAAGTAATAAATGTGCAGAAGAATACGAAACACTGAAAATATTCCAGTATCTGTCATGGCCGACCAGACAAAAAAGGAAGACCTTCTCAGACGGCACACTAATTCTAAGACAGAACAATATTAATTATCAATGGGGATTCCCAACAAGAATTATCATATCTCACGAAGGGAACACTACCACCATCAATTATGCAGAAGACCTAAGAAGCTGGTTAAGCAAAAATAACTTCAATCACTAGTCAACAAAGAGGGAGGTCCCAAATATTAGAGGGGAGAGAAAAGAAAAAAAGGTACTAGCGACACCTAACCTCTTAACAAGGGAAAATGGAAAAAGAATCAAACATGAAATAAGAGAAGGGAATTCCCCTTCTAGCACAAGGGGATATCAGGGAGATACAAAAAGTATAACTAAGAAGCTAGGGAAACAAAGAAATGAAAATAGAAAAATGTTGAACATTTTAGAACATTGATTAAACAGTCACTCAATAAGATAAGCAACGCACAAAACGGAAGAAAATTATCTTCCTATTAAGTATACACAAATTAGAATAAAATGATATAATGTACACTAAAGATTACATGAAACAAAGGAATTTATAAATATATAGAAGGGCAGATACTCACACAAGAAGGAAAAGAAAGAAAGGGGTAAGGGAAAAGAGTGATATATTCAAGAATAACACAAGTTTTGTAAAATGAAAATGTAAAACAATAATCAGTTAAAACACTTTAGCTGAGAATATGCAGGGGGTCGATTTACAAGGCTCTCCCTATTTCTATACACATTAGGAACATTAATGCGTACATGGGTTGTTTTCTTCTTTCACACTCTTTTATTTTTATTACTTATTGTGGCAGAAGCAGCCTCGCCACTGGGCATTGGAGAAGACTGATTGCCAGCCTCCTGCCATGTGACTATGGCCCCTGGGATGTATTGCCTGCTCTCCTGTACTGCTGAGGTTTGCTACCAACTAGGTGGATTTGGCTACGGAGCTTGTCTAGTGCCTTCTGTTGGTAGCAACAGCAATATGCACTACCTGAATAGCAAGACTGGTTCATTTACATATTCGGGTAGATTTGCATATTGCTAATTCTGCAGGCATGTGAGATATTTTCTGTTAATTATTTTCTCCCCCACCTCTTTAAAAAAATGCCATTTTGTTATAATAAGTCACTATATGTTGCCTGCTATGATTTGACTGTTTGTAATTTTATTGAGTTTTCACAGCAATGTTAATGTAATGACCATATGGGCTAGTCCCAAGTAAAATAAAGTTTTAGACAGTTCTACTTCACTCTTATTGGGGGAATCTGCTACAAGGGATTGCTATGCCCTGCATACTCTCTTGCTATATTCACTGCTAAGCTCTTGTAAGAGCTTGTTCCTGTCCTGCTCTCTGAAGGAGTCCACGGTGGTTATGGTGTCGGCTGGAGTGCTTGGAGTCCTCAGGAAGCGCTAGGAGCCTCCTTCAACGGAGGTACCCAGTCAGGTGCCAGGTGATCCGTTACACTTATATATTTATTTATATATATCTTCTCTTATATCAGCAGTACCTTTATGTAGGCTCCCCCTAGATCATCTACTCTAAGTATGCTCTTCCCACAGGATATTTGGGACCTATATCTCAGTATGTTTTGTATTACTGAAGGTACTGTATGGGTTTTTTGCCATACATAACGTTTGTCACCATTGCTTGGGATCAACCCGTCTTATTTTTATGTAATCACTAATAATTATGTTTTTATTCTTCTTTATAAAACTTTGGAAACTCATGGAGAGACAGAGCCTTGAGAACAGATAAAAAAATTACAATTTAAGTTGATATCAATAAATGTCCGGGGGATCAACACACCATGTAAGAGGTCTATAATTCTTGACTTCCTGATAAAAAAAATCAGGTACAAATCTGTGTTCTGCAAGAAACCCACTGGACAAGAGCCAATCAAAATACATTGTACTCATCAAGATATCCGACTATTATAAGTGCGGCTCTAGAAAAAAAGAAAAAAAAAGGCGCAGCATTCATGTTTGCAAAAAATGTCTAATTAATTATTAAATATCAAGACTTAGACCCAGAAGGATGTTATATCATTGTAATATGTGAAATAGATATTCACATTAGTTAACATTTATGCACCAAATAAATCTACAATAAAATATATCACAAAAGCGTTTAAGAAAATAGAGCAGATTAAACAAGGGTTGGTATTAATTATGAGGTACTATAACTGCGTAGTGGACCCTCTCAAAGATAGAAAGAGCCAGAATGACAGGATAACCAGGAAAACAAATGAAAATATATTGCAAAATCTACTAAATAATCATAACCTAAGAGATATATGGAGAACATTTCATCCTTCAGACTTCTTCATACTTTAGAATCGACCTTATCCTGGGTAAAATGTTATATCTTGTTTAAAGAATAGAGATACAGGATAGAGCATGGTCAGACCACGGTCCAATTATGTTGGAATATAGAGATAACTTTGATATATTTTAAAAAGAGTGGCGTATAATAGATTTTTTATTATATAAAAAAAAAAACAATGTTGAAAAAATTAAGAATATAATAAATCTTTTCTTTTTAGAAAATAAAAACAAAGGTACACCGGATATTATGGTCTGGTGCACTTATAAAAGCGTAGTTAGAGGCCATTTGATAAAAATAGCTGCCACTGTATATAAAAAAGGATTACCGCCTCTCTTCAAACTGTATATAACATTAAGCGAATATAAGAGGCAAAATAAAACAACCCCTTCCACACAAATAGCATGGAAGATTTAAGAAATAGAAAAACCGATAAATATCCAGCTAACGAATAAAGCAACCAAGCAGTTAGACGCATTACAATCCAAGTGGTATTTAAAGGGTAACAAGCCAGAAACAGTAATGTCCAATAAATTTTAAAAAGGGTAATATCTAAAATAAAACATAAAGAAACCTATTTAATGTCCCTAGAAAAAATAGGTAAAGCGTTTCAGAGATTTTATCAGAATATATATAATCTACCAAAAGAAATATATGGCAACAAAAAAGATTGTGGAATTCTTCTTAAATTTAAACCACTTTCAACTATATAATGAAAACCGGAAGCTGTCCTCGAGAGCTGTTAAGAGCAAATATTGTCCCTATCCCAAAAGCAGATAAAGATTTAGAACTGATTGGCAACTATAGACCCATATCATTAATCAATACAGATATTAAAATATTATCTTCTATCCTTGCTGATGAATTAAAAATAGTCATACCACAACTAATCAATAATGACCAAGTAGAATTCATACCAGAGAGGTCTTCAATAAACAATCTCAGAAAAATTACAAACATATTAGAAGAAACAGAGAACAATGGAACCTCTCTAATGTTACTGTCAATAGACGCAGAGAAAGCGTTTGACAGGGTTGGATGGGGTTTCATGTTTGCCACCTTAAAACAATATGGAATCACTGGACCAATATTACAAGCTATATCCGCTCTCTACAGCTCTCCATCAGCTAAAGTAACGGTCAGGATTCACATCACAAAACTTCAGTGTTAAAAATGGGACTAGACAAGGGTGCCCTCTTTGCCTTCTACTGTACATAATGGTGTTAGAACCCCTTGCGATTCTAATAAGACAAACCCAAAAAATTAAAGGATTTACGAACTCCTTAGGACAAAGTACATTAAATATCTACGCAGATGACATCTTACTAACTTTAGAAGAACCTAAAACCTCAGTCCCAGAGATTCTAAAGGAGAAAAATAAATACTCCATTGAGTCAGGATATAAAATTATTATAGAAGGGGGCATGGCCTGACACAGCATGGAAGCAGTAGCATAATCTGAGAGCACCACCATCCCGTGGACTGAAACAGCGAGAATCTCAGCAATCTTCATACAGCAACTCTCCCACGAGCTGTCGAGGACACGGGGGAAGATATGTCCAACAAATCGTCCAAAAAATTGAAACAGAAAACGCTGCATTTTCACTTAACAATGGGGAATAACGGCAACCAAGATGGCGCAGAAGGATCGATCTATACGGCTCCAGACCGCGATAATGGAGAGAGACAAGAACTTCCTGGCGTCCCCAGCACTCAACCGGCCACGGACGCATCCGTAAGTAGCATGTTACACTCGCTACAAACAAACCTCTGGTCTGATTTCTCCAAAATGGCGGCGGACATCAGGGCAGATATCCAGGCCCTAGGAGATAGGACGGCACACTTAGAAGAGACAACAGAAGGGCTGAGAGATGCCCATAACGAGCTTGCAGAGGCACACACAGCATTACAGCAAAAAGTGTATTTCCTTGAAGGAAAAATCGCGGACAATGAAGATAGAGATAGGAGGAACAATATAAAATTGCAAGGTGTACCTGAAACTGTAGACCCCAAGACCTGACTAAATTTGTTCAAGATATGTTCAGAGCACTCATTCCGACTCTGGAAACCGCCGATTTACGCCTAGACCGCACTCACCGATTGCCGGAACAAAGACATCTGCCACCCTCAAAACCGAGAGATGTAATCACAAGAGTACATTACTTTACAGTGAAAGACCGCCTAATGCAGGCCTCTCGAAGTAACCCGCCCTTGCCGAACCCGTTTACTGACATCAAACTGTTCATCGATTTGTCCGCAGTGACCATGTTCAAAAGAAGAGCATTTGCACCTATTACTATGGCTCTACGAGATGTCGCTATTCCATACAAATGGGGATTCCCTACAAAATTATTGCTGAAAAGAAACGGAGTTGATAAGATAATCTTCACACCAAGTGACGGCGCAAAACTGCTCAGAGAATGGAACATTCCTGTGTCGCAACCTACCAACTCACGATTACCAACAACATCGCCACCCCGAAAACACACAAAGGACTCCTGACCCATCCCTTGGCACACTACGGACTTTACAGCAATGCAACCGCAGAACACCGGCACATCAGCATTGATCACTCTCAGATATGTATATCATACGTGAGACTGAACACCTGAAACTCCCCTGTGTAACCTCGTAGCTGTCTTCACTTGCAATGTGATCCACAGCCGAGAGTCCACACCAGGCGGCTAAACAAATGATTATTTAAGTTACTAGATTTATACTGTTAACTCTACTTTATAACTGAACCCTTACTAAATACCTCCTGTAAAGTGGAACAACTAAGCGGATTATCCATACAGCTACAGGTCTGTATACTACCAGAAACAGCTAGCATAGCTTAACCCAAGAAAACGCCCAACAGGCATCTAACTGATAACTTCCACGGTACCCCACAAGGCTTATCTACTAAGCCATTTAACTACCTGTCTGCAGATCTCTGCGCTAGGCCACCCGGCTAACGGGTTTGTATATAGTTCATGTTTTATTGTTATACATTGTCACCCAGCCCCACACCACCTCACCCTACCCACAAAACCACAGTAGAACAGCAAAAGACAGGGATAATTGTCGAGAAGGAACCCCACGCACTACAACCCGTCAAACAATTACTAGCGAAATGTCAATCAAAGTAATTTCTCTTAACATGAAAGAGTTGAACTCGCCTCATAAAAGGTGACTAGCATTATTGGAAGCTAAAAAGCAGAAAGCACAGGTAGCTTTCTTCCAGGAAACCCATTTTAAATGGGGTTCACGGCCCATGTTTAACTCCCCCTGGTTCCCTGTAGATCACCACTCCTGCTACTCCACAAAAAAGAGAGAAGTTTCTATCCTAGTAAGCAAAAATGTGACCTTTGAAATGATCCGCACAATCAGTGATAGGAAAGGTAGATATCTCATCATTCAGTGCCATCTGAATAACAACCCCTTTACCTTAATGAATATATATGGGCCCAATGATAATCAAAAAGATTATGAACCAGGTATTTGCTTTGCTGAACCTGTACAGCTTTGGGGAGGTAATACTTGGAGGCGACTTTCTTCTAGACAGTACTAAAGACTCATCTGCCTCAAACACGGTGGTACCCACCACCTCTAAGAGACGACTCACACAATCTCACAACATCTGTGATATCCTAGCAACACATGATTACGTAGACCCTTGGAGAATAACACACCCCAATGAAACAGACTACTCCTGTCATACGGCAGTACATAACAGTTACTCCAGAATAGACAGATTCCTAATTAGGACTACCTCCTTCACAAAAGTGCTGGATACGGACATAGGTGACATTACGTGGTCTGACCACGTTCCCATTACACTAACACTTGAAGATAGATTTCCTGCTAATGGCCAAACCACTTGGAAGTTAAATGAAACCTTGCTTACAAACCCGCACAAAAAATCACACTAGACCTGCAGAATTACTTTGCTGACAATGACAGGCAGGACATAGACCCAGATTACGTCTGGCTAGCGCACAAGGCAGTTATTAGAGGCAGCTTCATAAAGCACGCTAGCCATGCTAGAAGAACCCATCAGTTATAATACCTAGCCCTCATTAATGAGATCAAAACTTTTACACACAGGAACAAACACTCGCCCACTCCAGAAACACAACAAAACCTATTAAATTTACAGACCCGACTGCGAGATATGGAACTGGCTAAAACTACCTACACAAAGTGCACAATGGCATCCAAAAAACACCGCAACACCGCGGGGCAAGCTCCTACCTCTGAAACACCGGCAGCCAAAACCTCCCTGCGGCGCTTTTTCAGCGAACACACAGAAGCACACAGACGGGACAAAATGGCGCCCGCGGCACAAACGCGAGGCAGCCAGCCCCCGAGCCCGGCGGCATCAGACGAGCCCACAGAGGAACAAGATATTCGGTCCTTGTTGACCCAACTACCCTCCAAGACCGACCTGGCAGCTTTATTCCAGAAACTGGAGGATAGCTTCAGTGAGAAACTTCAGGCTGTTACTGCAGACGTGCATCTGCTAGGGGATAGAGTCCAGGCTCTGGAAGAAGAGGCAGAAACTACTGAGAAACAATGGGCTAAGTCCTATACTACCCAGGAGACACACGCAGAGGCAATCAGGTACCTGCAGAGACAGCTAGAAGATGTAGATAACCGGGGACGCAGAAATAATCTGAGAGTGAGAGGTGTCCCTGAGAGTGCAGAAGGTGTCCCAGAAAACCCCGTGCAGGTCCTGACAGCCCTCTTCAACCGCATTTTAACCAGACCACTGGACACTGCCATTTTATTTGATAGAGCCCACAGAGCGGCCAGACCTAGGAACTTGCCTCCAGATAAACCACGGGACATTATTTGTCGCATACATAACTTCCCCCTAAAGGAAGAAATCTTCCACAAAGCACGACAGAACAAGGATATCAAGATCGACGGGCACCCGGTGATCGTCTTCCAGGACATAGCGCCGTCCACGCTGCAAGCTAGGCGTGCACTACGACCTATCACACAGGCCCTGTCCGAGAGAAATATCAAATTCAGATGGAGCTTCCCGTTCGCTCTCACAGTTACGCTCCAAAACAAAACGCACACTATAAACTCACCAGACGACATACCCGAATTCAAAAGAGCCTTGAAACTACCGTCGTCCGAGGTGGAGGATTGGACGGGCCTGAGAGGCACATCAGCGGGACGGACTCCGCATAAACCTAAGTGGCAAAAGTCCCCTCGAAAACGTCGTAGACAGAACCATCCTGGAGCAGACGCAGCACCGACATGAGCAGTACACGGTCGTATGATCAGACTCTCTCTCTTTTTCCTCTCTACCATTCTATCTCTCAATCCTGCCATGCGGGTATCCACTATGACACACCCAGTGAATGGACTTGCATTACTTTCACACTGTGTTGCAAATATTGAAATGTTATACTATGTTAAACTTTGTTATGCCTTTATGAATACATGTTACATTGCCGTTACCGGGCCCTAGAGTTTACGAGGAAAATATAAGGTTAGCTTTCCCATCAGGGCTCCAGACGGCCTGGCTCACAGGGCACACATTACTCCCAAATCAACACACACCTCCGACCTCCCTAGTTAGAGTAGAGGAGGTAGGTGGCATCACCTCTACAATGCCCTGTGAGGCCCCTATGATACACCCGGTCGGGCGCTCCGGCCACCACCCCCCAGAGAGGCGCCACAACCCCACTTGTGGACACGGCGAGTTATCCACAAGTGTAGCGCCAATCTCACCGCCAGAGATGGCCCTCACCTACTGTTTTAATGTATATAGTTCACGGTTATCCCCTGTCCACTTACCACCAAACACCCCTGCCATTACTATCGTACTGAAGATACTGCCGACAGGTGCTCCCCATGTCCTATTTGAGACATTCTTACCACCGCTCTTACCACCATGACTCAAACCAAACTGATGTCCCTAAATGTTAGGGGTCTCAATTCACCCATGAAACGCACAATGCTAGCGCAGGAGATTGATAGACGAGGTGCCGAAATAATTTTCATGCAGCAGACGCATTTCAGGGGGGAGTTCAAACCAAGAATCCACTATAAACGTAGCAACTTAGCATACTACAGTAACAACACCCAAAAGAAGTCCAGAGGCGCTGCAATACTCATAGCCTCTACTGCCGCCTTCACAGAAATGGGAGTTAGAACTGATCCCAGAGGCAGATTTGTCTTTGTGAAAGGAATGTACAATGGCACTTTGGTAACTCTAGCTAGCATCTATGTCCCTAATGCAGACCAGGCCTCCTACATACGATCATGTCTGACCAAGTTAGAGGCATTTGCTGAGGGAGTAGTGGTAGTGGGCGGAGACTGGAATATGGTTCTTGACCATTCAATTGACAGCTCTTCCACCACTACAGACACCAGACGACATCAAAGGAGGATGTTCACTAACGTGCTACACACACACCAATTATCTGACTGCTGGAGGATCATGCACCCCCAAGGCAGAGACTACTCGTACTACTCTCAGACAGCTAAAAGCTACTCCAGAATAGATATGTTCATGATCAGCCATAGACACCTCCCCATGGTCCATGACGCATCCATAGGCAACATTACGTGGTCGGATCATGCCCCGATCCTCTTAACTCTCACCCTACAGGATAGGTCCAGGCCTACTACACAGTGGCGCCTGAACGAAACCCTACTAGACGACCACAGGGTATTAGAGGATCTGCGGCAGACTGTAGCGACCTACTTTAAGGAGAATAGTGGCACTGAGGTGTCAGATCCTTGGGTGTGGGAAGCCCACAAGGGAGTCATCAGGGGTATACTTATTAAGTGGGGCGCTCGACTTAAAAAAGAAAGGTCACACAAACTAGAGGCGCTCACAGCAGATATAACAACAGCGGAGACCCGCCATAAACTAGACCCCACAAATGATAACCTCCAAAAGTTAACAGCCCTACGACTCGAATTCAGAACCCTCCTGACTACTAGGGCATACAGATCTATCCAACTGACAAGGGGGACGTTCTACGCACAAGGAAATAGGAGTGGGAAACTTTTGGCTAGAGCCTTGAAAGCAAAAGTCATTCATAAATAAAATAGTGGGCGACTCAGGCAGACAGCACGACACCACGGAAGACATAGCCAAGGCGTTCACCACTTTTTACGCTGACCTTTATAACTTGACCCCCCCGAAGACACAACCACATACCCTGCGGGACTATATCTCTGACAACATATCTTGCAAGATCCCAGTAGACCAGATCCATGCACTGGACGAACCTTTCTCACACGCAGAACTACTCTCCACAATTAAAACACTCCCGAACGGTAAAAGCCCTGGTCCAGACGGACTTGTCAGTCCGTCTGGACCAGGGCTTTTACCGTTCGGGAGTGTTTTAATTGTAGGCTACGAAATTGGATTCAAGCCCTATATAGGGGACCCTCGGCCACCGTCAGGATAAACGGACAATTCTCCACCCCGTTCCCAATAAGTAACGGCACTCGACAGGGCTGCCCTCTGTCGCCCCTCTTATTTGTCTTGGCCATGGAACCTTTCCTGAATGCAATCAGGAAACACGGTGAAATAAAGGGCTACCGCCACCGAGGAGGGGAAGTGAGGGTATCAGCCTTCGCGGATGACATCCTTTTCTCAATCACAGACCCCACCATCACATTACCACGAATCAACTCAGAGATACAAACCTTTAGCGCCCTCTCTAATTTTAAGATTAGCACAGATAAGTGCGAGATCCTGGGGATCTCAGTCCCCCCAACCCTACAAACACGGCTCCAACGGCTACACCCGTTCCCCTGGACCAGGACAGGACTGACCTACCTAGGAATAAAGCTAGCTTGTTCCGCAAGCAGTCTATACAAACTTAATTATCCCCCCCTCCTAGACGGCATCAAATGGGACCTCCAAAAATGGGATCTACCCCATTTCTCCTTGATAGGGCGGATCAACATCATCAAGATGATGGTCCTCCCGAAAATACTATACATATTCCAGGCGCTGCCTATCCAACTCCCGAGTACATTTTTTGCGCAGACACGCACATGCTTTACCAAATACATCTGGGGCAATAAACCAGTGAGAATTGCCTACACTACATTGACCTCCTCTGCAGGCAGAGGCGGACTGGGCCTATCCCACCTCTACAAGTATTATATAGCGGTGCTGCTCACCCGATTAAAAGAGTGGACTGACACCGCCAGGGCCAAATCGTGGTACTCCCTGGAACAAAGCTTTGTCTCTGTCCCAATAAACTCCCTGCCCTGGCAAACCTGTCACCCCACAGCGCACACCCCTACGAGACATCCATTAATACATAACATCCTGACTCTATGGAGAAAGTATAAAGACATATGGGGACTATCACCCGGCATATCACGGTTTTTCCCAATAGCGGCCAATCCTGATTTTCAAGGGGGCCACGGGGGCCCTCTCCTTACCCGCCTCCTAGACTCCCCCACCCCAAGGATAACAGAATTGATTGGGGGAGACCCACCCATTATCCAGACTATAACCAACCCACATAGGCAAGATACACTCATTGAGGTAATAGGAAGAGCACAACTTAAGGCCTTCTTGAGAAGATCGGTCTTACCCTACTGGAGGCAGAGAGCAGACACACACTTTGAGACCCTTTGCGGCCCAGAGGGGGACCCAAAACACCCCTTATCCAAAATATACCACATTTTGCAAGACTCCGAAAGGGAACCCACAACCTTATCATTCCAACAGAAATGGATGAAAGACCTCCGTATACACGTTTCTGACAAAGACTGGTCGAATATCTTAGAAACGGGCATCAAAACCCCGCTTAGCGTAGCACACAAGGAAGCATTTTATAAAAGGGTCACACGATGGTATAGAACCCCAGATAAGTTACACTCAATCTGGCCGTCCATCAGCGGTTCATGCTGGAGATGCTCTAATGGCCGCGGTGACATGGAACACATATGGTGGAGCTGCAGAGACATCCAGGGATTCTGGTCTCTCATACTCTCAACCATCACAGAAATACTAAAACCACCATCACACCTATCGCCATCACAGATCCTACTAGGTTGGCCCCGCACATTCCCAGAATCTCATAAACAACAGTTACTACAACTCCTACTAGGGGAAGCCAATGCTCTTATCCCGCTATACTGGCGGACTACCACCACGCCTTCCAAAGAACAGTGGGTACAGAGGGTAGAACACACAAGATGCATGGAAGATATCCACTGGTCACTGTTGGGAAAAAGACACATACATCTCCAAAGATGGAGCCCCTGGACGGAATTCTGGGAGAAACCCTTGGGAGAGCAAAGGCCTTAGATGCCCTTAGAGTAGCACACCGAAGGCCCAGACGTGCTAGCGACCTACAGCCCCAGTTTGAGTTACCATGGTAGACACCGTTCAAGGCACACTCACTACCATATTATGATGAAGTAAGAGGCAGGACACCCCTAGCCCCTACCCCCTCCCCTGTTTCACGTTCTCACCCACGGCTCGTTGCCGAACTAAGTTGCATACCGACCCTTCTGACGACTTATGACAGAGAGTGCCCCGTATCCGGTTGAATAATACAGGAGTTAACATATTATTAAAACCGCCCCAGGGACCATGCAGACATCTTACCACAGAACAAAATGATATGTGTAACTGCACAAACTGTTAGATGACCCCATTATGTATGCATTGAATGTCACCTATTTCTCTTTTCTGTATCCCATAAACGTATATCTTTGGAAATAAAGAAAAAGTGAAATAAAAAAAATAAAAAATCTCAAATGATCTTGTCCTTCCAAGAAGGACTGGGTCCCATACACATCCTTCCTGCATCACCAAAATAATTTTGCCTGTAGCTATCCAACTAGACTTTCCGAACCAATACCACATACATCCCATATTCCATGTATCTCTTCTGAAACCTCTTTCTTATGATCCCTTTCCTGCCAGATATCCTCCTCCATCAAGTCCTGTTGTTGAACAAAGTGAACCTAAAAATTAGGTGTAAAGCATCGTTGATTCACGCTGACATAGGGGCATCTTGGAATATATAATTAATTAGAAGGGCTATGGTTCCGAGAATAGGTTCTGGGAACCCGCTGCTAACATGCATGCCCCACATCTCCTCCGAAGATCCATCTTCTGCATCCTGACTGTCTTGCCCCTTTATGCCTCCAGAGGTGACATCCTATTAGGAGGGTACTGTCATGCCCTTGCCTGGCCCGTTATTTACCTCCACTGCTCCTTGCTGCCAAACGCCGGATCATGCTGTACCTGTTCTGATTATCCATTACCTTTCTCCCGTTTAAGAACCTGTGCGACCTGTTGCCTGCCTGACCTCACTTCTGCTGCATTCTTATATGTACTACTCTTCTGGCTGATTACTGCATTATGGGCTTTATCTACTAAATTGTGGCAAAAAGGTTAATGGATAGCGGGTGTCATGACTTACCCAAGCTTCCTTGCTGCTCTGCCAGTATCTTCGACCGCACTTATATCACAAGGGAGAGGTGCGCGCTTGAAGCAAGCCATGGGACAGTCCAGAGAGCCCAGCTACAGGCAGGGCGCTCTCCCATGGTTCCTTTAACAATCCCAAGCCCCCTGATAGCCTACATAAACACATATCCTATCATTGCTCAGTTGTTTTGTCCTGTTTCAGTGGCTTCACTTGGCTGACTTTGTTCACCTGGTTAGCTGACCTTTGGCTTAATTAGTGCTTCTGAACCTTGCTGCCTGGATTTTTGACTGTGGACTGTCTTGAATATGCCTTTGCCTAGCCCTTTTTTGGATTTTTTGCTTTGGACTTTATTCACATATTATATTACAACAGTGAGGATTGCATTCTGGGCTTCATTCATCAAGCCTGACATAACAACTGAGCACACACGGTATCCGCAAACATAGATGAGGCTATTCAATCATGACCAGACAAATGGGGGTGTTTAAGCATACAGGACCTGCAGAAGGGACAGCTCCATGCTTAAATCTGTGACCTCATGCCACTCCATCTGGTCCTGTGTCTGGATGATGATCCATATGAACCTGAACCTACAGTTTATACAGGGTATTGATGATGGAATGTCAATATTCACTGTGAAACCATGTAGCTATTACAGTGATTATATTAAAGTTAGAACTGTGATTTCTCTGTTGGCTGGTTGACCTTCTACCTGGGCACATTATCTGGTCCATACACAGAATCCAATCCTTAATTCCTATGTATCTTTTTCTGCTGCTCTGGATACCCTATATGATGATCCCAACTGCCTTATCTCTGGATCCCCTATATGATGATCCAAAGCAGCCATTAGAAACTTGTTGGAACGTAATAACCCTGACGGATCAATTCAGAATTAGACTGAATAAATCCTTAAAGGACCACTATAGTCACTCAGACCACTTCTGCTCAATGAAGTGGTCTGGGTGCCAGGTCCCCCAGGTTTTAACCCTGCAGCTGTAAACATAGCAGTTTCAGAGAAACTGCTATGTTTACATTGCAGGCAATGGCATCCACGGGGGAGGAGGAACACAGTGCAATACTGTAGGTAGGTGGCGCTGTGTATGGAGAGAGACAGAGATAGGAAGCTACATCTTATCCCTGCTTCTCTCTCCCGACTGCATCCGCAGGGAATCAGCACATTCAGCCAGCAACTCCTAGACTGCAGAGACAGCCTACAGATCAGGTAAGTGAGGGATGGGAGGGCAGCCTACAGATCAGGTAATTGAGGCATGGGGTGGGAGGGAGAGCCCCTATAGATCAGGGAAGTGAGGCATGGGGGGCAGCCTATAGATCAGGGAAGTGAGGCATGGGGGGCAGCCTACAGATTAGGGAAGTGAGGCATGGGGGGCAGCCTATATATCAGGGAAGTGAGGCATGGGGGACAGCCTATGGATCAGGGAAGCAAGGCATGGGGGGCAGCCTATAGATCAGGGAAGTGAAGCATGGGGGGGCAGCCTACAGATCAGGGAAGTGAGAAGAGGGGAGGGGAGAGACAGCCTATAGATCAGGTAAGTGAGGGATGGGGGGAAGAGAGACAGACTATAGATCAGGTAAGTGAGGGATGGGGGGAGGTAGCCTATAGATCAGGTAAGTGAGGGATTGGGGAGACAGCCTACAGGAAGGGTCAGCAAGGAGCAGGAATGTAAAGTAAGAGAAGGAGCAGAAAGGATAAGGGACAGAAATGAGCAGGAAGGGACATCAAGGAGCAGAAAGGGGCAACAAGGAGCTGGAAGGGACAGCAAGGAGCACAAAAGGTAAAGTAGGAAAAGGAGCACAAAGGAACAGAAATGAGCAGGAAGGGGCTGCAAGGAGCATAAAGGGTCAGCAAGGAGAAGGAAGGGTCAGCAAGGAGCTGGAAGGTAAAGCAGCACAAACGTAAACTAGAAGGTGCAGAAAGGGTCAGCAAGGAGCTGGAAAGGGCAGGAAGGGACAGGAGGAGCACGAAGGTAAAGTTGGAGAAGGAACAGAAATGAGCAGGAAGGATCAGAAAGGAGCAGGAAGGGTCTGCAAGGAGCAGCAAGGGTCAGGAAGGGTCTGCAAGGGGCAGCAAGGAGCAGGAAGGGTCTGCAAGGAGCAGAAAGAGAAAGGAGCAGGAGGGCACAAAATAAGCAGAAAGTAGCAGAAAGGTAAAGGAGCAGAAGAAGCCAAGGAGGAAAGAAGACAGTGTCAGAAGAAAAGACTGTGTCAAATGAAGGAGACGAAAGGGAGATTGGAGCAGGAAGGACAAGTGAAGTGAACCCTCCACTTTATTCTGGACACCACATCTTAAGGCTTTGGTACCTGGGCCTGGCAGGGAAACTTTGGACCTTCTCATCTCCCCAGGTAAAAAAAATATCAGTGTTAATGTGTTGACATTTATTTACTGAGTGTCAGGAAGCACAGAGTGCCGCTGGGTAGGTGTGTCGCTGATTGGCTAGAGCGGTCAGCTGGCACTCTAAGCCAATTAGTAGCTCCCCATTCATAAAAAAGAAAAACATTTTTATGAACCGGGAATGAGCGCTTGGCTTAGAGCGTCAGCTGACCACTAGCCAATCTGCAGTTCCTGGCACTCTGTTTCAGACGCCGAATACCACTGAGTGACCTGAAGCTGGAGGAAGCCTTTGGGGTTAAACCTTTTGAGAGCGGTTTAACCCCTTAAAGGAAAGAGAGCACCCAGGGGCTTCCTGGCATCATAGCATTTTCATTTAGATGAAGTTGTTATGGTGACCAGAATGTTCCTTTAATTTGCTTAAAGGAACACTATAGTGTCAGGAATACAAACATATATTCCTGACATCATAGTTGTGAAAACGCTTTTCACCCTGGCTTTATGTGATAATGACTATGCCCCTTCCCTTTCATGACACTATCAAAAAGGAACCAAACATGGATGTCATTACAATTATGTCCCCCCCCTCTGGAAAAATTCCTGCGGACACCCATGATTGCAGGGTTAATTCAACCTCTAGTGGCTGTCTTCCTGACAGCTGATAGAGGCGCTTCCCCGATGCTCAATGTGAAAATCGCACTGAGCACGCAGAACGTCTATAGGAAAGCATTGAGAAATGCTTTCCTATGGGCGTTTTTAATGCATTCACGTCTCTGGCCGCGCATGCGCGTTCGGCTCAACTCAGGAGCTGACGTCGGGAGTCTGGCACTGGATAAAGGTAAGTGGCTGAAGGGGTTCCAGTTCCACATGACTTATTGTCCAGGTTTAAAAAATTGTACAGGCGATGCTCTATCCCGCTTACTTTTACAGTTGGTTCCACAACTAACCTATCCCAAATTATTTTGTATAAAGGATATTTTATGGTTACTCAATCACTTATTGGACAAGATCCATTGATTGTCACAGGGGGCATTGCTATCAGTGCAGAAAGATGTATTAGTTTATATGAAAGTCCGCTCTGTCTGTTCCAGGTCTAAAGATCTCCCTTTTTGATCTGCTGGATTATTACCACCCCTTCCTATTCCTTTTCCACCCTGGTCACAGATCACTGTTCATTTACCTGCTTCCAAAGGTCATATCGCTATAATGTTTGTGGTAAACAGGCTTATCAAAATGACCAATTTTTTCTCAGAAACATCTACTGTCAAACAGTTATTTATTTTATAAATACATATTCAGATTGCACAGAGTGCCTAATTAGATCCTGTCTGATAGAGGCCCTCAATTCATGTCAAGATTTTGGAAATCGTTCTGTCCCCTCCTGTAAATCAAGATCCATCTCCCCACTGCTCTCCACCAATAGACAAACAGTCAATCTGAGCGAATAAGCCAGACGCTCGAACAATATCTGCATTGTTACACCACACACCTACAGAACGACTGGTATGTTTTATTACCTGCTGTAGAAATTGATTACAATTCATTCTCATATGCACAGTCCTTACAACAGTTCTCCTTTCTATGTCACTTATGGCTATCGTCGTGCCATGCTTCCTGATGATCAACTCATCTCATGCTCAATGCCTGATGTGGAACTATTTGCCGCAACTTCCATAGAGGTTAGG